CTACTACTCTCTCTCTCTCTCTCTCTCTCTCTCTCTCTCTCTCTCTCTCTCTCTCTCTCCAACAAAAGTGTGATCAAGTGACTAATAGTAGGTGCGAGAGTGCAAATTGTTCGGCAAGTGACCAGACGATCAAAATGCTACGCCGATTCCGCAAGTTGAAGAAAATTGAGCGCGTTTGGCTACAATCCAGGAGTTAGAAATTCTCGCGAAAGAGACACGCAAAACGCGAACGCGTACAAGTGCTCCGATGAGAGTTTTCCCGTTACTTAAGCGCAATGGACAATGACTCGAATAGGTCTTTTTAAGGTTTCACGACGTAAAAATCCGTCATCCCTCTCTATGCCGCGTCTTATTATAAAAGATCACAAAGAGTGCAAAGAATACAAGAAGACGCAAACGCGCAGATTATTGGATGAAAAGAAACCTGATCAAAATCGACGAAAGAAACGAAAGAGGGCAAGTTTGTGCCCTCTAATCGTGCAACAATGATACCAACCAATGACGTCTTAATGATAGTTGTGAATCAACGGATAGATAAAAATACGCCAATTGCCGAATATATTTTTTTAATTTTCAACCCGTTGGTCATACACATTGACATTGATATACACATATATGATACGGCACTCGAGTCAAGATTTCAAATGGCGAATATTCTGCGAATTTTTTAAGCAACGCGTGTTACGAATCACGATCAATTTTAATTAATGCACCGTTTAATTGGTTGTACAGAAAATGGGCTTTTCGCGTTTGTCGCTACAGCCATTTGATTCTCGTTGCGTTGTGTTACGTCGATATGAGTAACGTTTATATTGCCGCACAGACAACGTATCGGATAACGCCGTACGGACACATTTTTAATTACACGCTTTTGTTTTATTTACAATTTGCATAACCCACTTTAGTCGATTATGCCTAACTCTTTCCTTAACAGAACGCTCGCGGGTATGTACACATATAGGTCGAGCCCCGGTTAAACTCGCCTCGTTCATCGTACGGGAATTATATTTATCTCCCTTAGCAGGTAAATGCGTACACCTCGGGTGAAGACGCGTCAAAGTAGGCTATTTAAATCTAGCGCAATCTTACGCATATACGCGCGGTACTTGGCTATCTACTCTCGCTCCACATGTGTCATCCGTCGTGTCATCCGATTTCGATCAGGTCAGTTCGATCTATCACTGACCCAGCTAATGTCTCTTACAATGTGGTAAATGGTGTGGATACATGAAGAAAGAAAGGACGTGCGCGCGCGCGCTCGGAGAGGACAGATTCGATTTGTTATTTCCTAGATGATATAACCGAGTTAACTACCGAGTCGTACTAATCATTCGCGTTATGTCCATGAGATAAATCGTGTCATCGAGAGGTATACGATTTTGCCACATTTCTATCATTTGTATTATTCGTTCGTACAAGCACGAGTGTAGGGGAAGGGCGGAAGTAAGGGAATAGCAGCGAGAAAAGCGAGCGAGAGAGAGGGGGAGGAGAGGGGGAGAGAGAGAGAGAGAGAGAGAGAGAAACGTCCCGGTTTCTTCTATAAATAAGTCTCACCGACTCGAAGAAAACGGTCTATGATGATTTTCAATTCGTAACGTCGCGCGACATCGCAGCGCGATACCTGTATCTTTGTGAAAAATCGTTAGATGTGGATACATTTTTCGCGCGATTCGCGATTCGCGCGTTCACGTATCCTGCTCTCAAAAGTGCCATGGCGATTAATTTCAAATTTCATCTTCTTATTTACGCGTGCAATTTTACGTTCAAGTTAATAGAAACGTTCAACATCCATTTTGTATTTGATTTTTGATTCCGAAACGTGACGAGTGACTACGAGAAGACGGCGCAGCTTATCGTCGAATCGAATCATCGTTTTGATTTTATCATGAGTAAACTTTAAAATAATGAGAGATTTTAATTTGAGTATAGTTGGAAACGTGAAACTTTCGGGAGGTTTCGGATAACATGAAACAATAACAATAACCTTTGTTCGCGTTTCATCCTTAATTAACTTAGTATAGGCGTAATGGTAACATGATTACTTGTAAAATTATAAATTATTAGCGACATTTCGTGTGACTCGTTTCGTTGTCTCGTTGCTTCTTTCGCAATTTTTAATTTATCGAATATCTAGGCTTAAAACGCGCGTAGAAACGATGCGTAGAATGCGAATTACGCGAAATATATATCTTCGGACAAATTAGAATATCGTTGAATATTCGAAATAACGTTTGACGATGTAACGCGGTTCGCATACTCGAACGATATCTAGAAATAAATTTGGCGAGCCGGCGCGAGTCGACCTTGAAGGATCGCAGTACTTTTGCGTATCGCTAGGTCACGTTTGGATCTTTTCGATCATATCATTCGTTTGATCGCGACAAGATGATTCACCGTCCTATCCATAACTAAGAGAATATCGAGAAATTTGATTTTATAATCTGTACGAAGACCGTTATCTCGTACGTGGCGTACTCTCCATGACGACTGACCGTGGTGGACAAGACGCTGAGATCCCAGGCGCTCTTAGCTTGCTTCTGGTAATTTTTCTTCTTTTTGCCAGGTCTCCGCAAACTGGAAAACCAGCCGGCTGCGATAGCGACGGCGCTCACGTCTCGGCGACCGGCGGCGCCGTCCGGTTGGACGCCACCTGCTCCAGCGACGCCTCGCACCTCGTCGAGTGCATCTACCGATCTACCGGTGAAAATCATTCTCGGCGCATTCGGTCACCGAGACGGGGGGCTGCTTCCGATTTGAGAGAGCTTGCTCTCTCCTTCACTCGACACTTTTCGTCTTTCCGGCAATGCGAAAACAATAACAACACTCGCTTTGCACTCCACATCCACCGTAGTCTCCGTTGCGATCGAATAGCATCGTTCACACGTCAAACGCTCCAAGAAATAGACGAGGTGCAAAGGTCGCGGAGCGCATAGAGCACGCGGTCGGAAGTGCAACGACCCACACGCGACACGACGCTACTCGCGTACCTTCGCCACTCTGTTTCAATTACCGGCCTCCGACACCGATCTCTCTCTCTCTCT